CGATTCCAACAATTATGTTCCAATCGGTAATAAATTATATATTTGTTACATCTTGTTTTTGAGGTCGTCACGTCATCCATTGTACGAAACCATCTAAATTAATTTTCTAACACTAATGGCCAAATAGACACAATTACTAATACAACTACAACAGATATTTAGAAATTGACTATATAATGTTCTTTAATAATGTAAGTCCAGAAACTTGGTTTTAATTACATTGTAGTAAATAAAAATAATAATTTTTACAAATTACTGGACCCAAGCTAATTTTTCTATCAAAATATACCAAAATATCAAAATATATTTTGTAAATTGTACTGATTTACCAAATGATCGAATTTCAAGTAAACTTCATGACTAGAATGCGAATTTTTATGCAGTGGTGGATTTTTTATTTTTTTAGGGTTGGGGATCCTTTTACATTATCTAATAATAAATAAAGACAAAATATGTTTATTTATTACTAAATTATTGTACTAATTTATTACTTAGTCTTATAATGTAATTCTTAAACTAACAATAATAACATAGCATAGAATTTTAGTTACAAGAAAAAGTATATATAAAATATAAAATATTACATCCTTAACGCGTGACCTGGGTGGGGTCCAATTTTCGTCAAAAAACTATAACTAAATAATGTTCCTCGCGTGTTAGTGAGTATTAGTGCTGTAGCAACCAAACATTGCGCCCGGGACGAAACTTCAAAATGCGCCCTTATGTATTTTTAATTTAATATTATTATGTTTATTACATATTATTTTCAATGATTGCTTTAATTAATATGAAGGATATTAAAGATTTTATAAACAAAATATACTACATTGACCGTTGTAATTTTCAACATTAAATGCAAGATTTTCATTTTTGCACTGTGCCAGGATTTGCATCCGGGGCGTTGGCACCCCCTTGCTACGGTCCTAGTGAGTATTGATTATTGTATGCGCGAGCATGTGGAACGTCCCTCTTCCTCTAATCGGTGCCGCGTCCGTCGCGGCTGCTAAACCGGCGCCATTTTTTTTTTGTTAGAAAGAGAAAAACTTCTTACAGAGCGCATTGGACTTCAATTTTCAAATTTATTTGTTAAAGTGTCACATTAAACATTTTAATATGATACATTTTTACTTGTTTTAAAACCTTTTTTGTAGTTTTTAGAAAAAAATTTAAAAAACAAAGTTTAATGCGCCCTGTAAGAAGTATTACTCTTTGAAACAAAAACAAAAAAAAAAATTATTGAAATCACTCTACAATCACTCTACGAGCCATGAGAGTTTTTCCACTTAGGCATGTTTTAGAACAAAAATCAAACTAACATTTTTCTGTCCGTTTGTGCCATTGACATTTGTGCGCATCGACAACGCGTGCGTGTGGAATATTCTAATAACATAATATGAAAGATGTTAAAGATTTTATAAAAAAAATATACGACATTTACCGTTATAATTTTCAACATTAAATGCAAGATTTTCATTTTTGTGTGCCCTCAGGAATTGCATCTGGGGCGTTGGCACCCTCTTGCTACGGTCCTGGTGAGTATTGATTTTTGCGTACGCACGCGTGTAGAACGTCCCTTTTTCACTAATCGGTGCTGCGTCGGTCACGGCTGCTACGCAGGCGCCATTTATTAAGGGGCCTGCTCGTGCTCTATATTTTTTTTGTAAAACAGGAAAAACTGACGGCTCGTAGAGTGATCAGATTTCAATATTTTTTTTTTTTGTTAGAAAGAGAAAAACTTTTTACAGGGTGCATTGGACTTCAATTTTCAAAATTATATGTTAAAGCGTCACATTAAAAGTTTTAGTAATATTAAAACTTTTAAAAAAATATTGAAATCACTCTACAATCACTCTATGAGCCATGAGAGTTTTTCCTCTAAGGCATATTTTAGAATAAAAATCAAACTAACATTTTTCTGTCAGTTTGTGCTATTGACATGTGCGCATCGGCGGCGCGTGCGTGCAGAATATCCCAATAACCTGCACCTTATTATAAATAGGTATCGACTACTGATAATGGATAGTCAATATGAGGAGCGTCTAAACACAAAAATGCACCTTAAGCATTTTGTGCATGTGCGTAATTTATTCAACACAATCATAATGTTAGACTGTTACATAAAGTACTCTATGGGCTGTTATCAATATATCATATCAAATCACTATAATACAATAATAATATGAGTTATGAATCAAACTATTCAAAATTGAATTACATACTTCCCATGTAAATAATATATTGTAATTTTATTTTAGTTGTTAAATAATAATGTTCATGAAGAACATCCAAACTGCCATCTATATGACTTACCACTGACAATTGAACATCTCACACTCAGCTGCACCAAGTACAACAATGAACGAAGCATCTTAAACTTTCCATCCAACATCGAAGAAGCACTCGGATAAACCAACACAGATGCCATCTTCAACTTTTTTAGCGCCATCGAAGTATCCAACCTATTATAAAAAATCCGCAAATACTACTGTTTTACCTATTTATTTAACATTACTATTTTATTTTATTTATCTACTTATTTTGTTTAATTTGTATGTTATTATGTACATAAGACTGTATCAATATTTCTAATCTTTAATCAACCATTGTAAACCCTCTCAGGCTAATGACCGCCGATGTCGAAGCCTTATTTTTAATAAAAAAAAAAAAAAAAAAATAATAATGTTCAGTTTCGTCATAATTTTTTTTTTTTGTTGTAGTAGTATATTATTGAAATGTTTAGTTTCAACTTTAGTGTAATGTACTATGTATACATTATATTTTTTCATACGTATTTACAATCATAACCATAAACAAATTAATAGAATTAACATGAACAACGTGCGAATCGCAAAATCTCTACTAATGCAATAAGAAATCTGAAAACAGATTTGAATTGGCTATGAAGTTTTTTGAGATCGGTCACCCCTCTTTTTGGATTTTTTGATGTCAGATACAATATATTCACTGTTTAATAATTCTAAAATTGTTAGTTTTAAAATCATACTTAAGTGGAGTATAAAAGACAAAATTTAAAAAAAACGCTCTGACCGATCTCAATTAAACTTCATAACGAATTTAAATATTTTCAGATTTTTTATTGCACTAGTAGTTTTATCGTTTCTTGTATTAAATCCCCTTAAAATTCTCGCATCGTAATCAAACCTGTGTGTAGTTTTTGCTTTCTCTAAATGAAATTAAAATTTATGTGTTTTAAAGAAAAAGAAAAATGATTTTACTTAATTTATTCAAATGCTAAATAGTGGTAGTAGCTGATTTATAAATAATAAAAAAATAATAATAATATTTACATATTATTCTAATGATTCAATACACATATTTTTAATAAAAATTATTCCATAATCTTTATCCATATTAAATTTTTATATTCCGATTTTGTGACGACATTATTTAACATTTTCGTAATCCTCCCTCTCTCTCCCTCCACTCTAACAAAAAAAAATGAATAGTCGGGGACGTGGTAAAATTTGGTAAGGTATTTGGAACAACTCTGTGAAATAAAAATTGGAAAATTGTTAAATAGTCTTGTCACAAAATTGGAACAAAATCGGAACACATAAAATATAATCCCTCCCTCTCCCTACCCTCCTTTTAAGTTAACATGAAAACGAAAAATCGATTTCGTCGAAAACGGGGGTGAACAGTAAAAATGTTGCTGTTTCCATGGCAATGAGCGAGTGGATATAGCTAATGCGTCATCCGTTTTATCGGGACGCTGATGGCTGGCGGAAAGTAAAATCATTATAATATCCAGACCCGGTTCAAACATTTACTTACCGCTGTAGTCAATTTGCACAAAAATTGAACCAAAATATACACACCATGAGTTATTTGCATCAAAATGTTTGATACGCGATTGTAATTTTACCCAACATAAGGATATGTTATTTGCACTACCCTCAGGTAGTAAGAAATAGGAATTGTAATTTGCACCAAACTAAAAGAATTATTATTTTTTCGATAGTATCTCAATAGTATCAAAATAAGCACAAGTTTCTATATTTCTTATATCTCAAAGCTAATAATACAGAATTTTAGGTTTTAGATTCTGAGCCGTTATTTGTTACTTACACCGAGGTCTATACGATACTTTAGTATTGACCTCAATGCTACCTTATAAAAAATAGTCAATAATTTATAATAATAGCTTAATAATTTAATTATTTTAGGCATAAATTATAATTTTAAAACACATAATGCTTTTAAATTATTTGTATATAATATAAATTTCGATAAACGATATTTATAATCCTAATATAACTTTAGATTAGTTTTTATTTATAAAATAGCTGAGTTTATCACGGATTGTTTTAGGTTTATATAAGATTTTATTATTATGAATAAAAAAAAAAAAAGTTAGGCAATTAAAAAAAATTATAAGTAAAATTAATAAAACCAAATGATTTGTCAGATATTTTCGATAGCATTTTATGTATCACGATTAAATGAAGATGGGGTGATCTGGGAACAATAATTTTTAATTGAAATAAAATAAACTCAGGTACATATTTGTTACCATGAAACGAGATGACTAAGTGATTAGCTTAGTATTTGATTAAAATAATAAAATTATATATATATATATATATATATATATGTAACGCGAATACGACCAATAATTGGACTTCAAACGTCAAAATATTACCAGGTAAGACGAAAAATCGAGAAAAATTCAAAAAAAAAATCGTACGCGCGTTGCGGAAGCGGCTCGCGGTAGAACCGACGGAGCGGTCGAGTAGAAGGTATTGTCGAAAGCGGTGAGGTGAATCGTAAATCGATAGGCACGCGCGCGGCCGGTCCGGGTACACGTATCGAGCTCGCCTCCTACCACCACCAACCCTGTCCCGCCCACCGAAAAAAGGTCACAGCGCACTGCCGCAAGCGCGTGTTGCGCACGGGCGTAGAAGACGCTCAGCGCGCCGGTGCCGCGGCCCGACCCGGGGATACGACGCGATCGTTAAAGCGCCGACCGTAGTGACGGCGGGTGACGCGGTGTGCTCGCGCGACTGCTTTCCCCGGCCCGGATGGACCGACCCGAACACAACCTACATCCTCCGCATAGGTATTGACGTGTACGCGTTGCCGGGACGACGGCCCATCTGCGCGTTCGACCCGCCGTCCGCTGCGCGTCCGACCTGGACGCCAGGGACCGACAGCGACACGAACATTCCGCAGCTGTCCGTTGCCGGAAACCGTCGTCGGACGCTTCGAAACGCATCGTCGGGAAACCTAACCGCACCTCGAGCGACGGCCGTACATCCATCGTCATAACGATCACTCGCAGGTACCGTGCGATCCTTTGCGATGCGCCGCGGCAATATCCGTCGGCCGTAGCCCGGTTACGGTTCTCCGTTTCGACCGTACTTGTACCGGAGCTTTTTTATTTTTTTTTTTTTTTTTAACAGACCTTGGTGGAACACATCACGAGTACCGAGGGATGTCGTTTATGTGCATACGCCGCATTGTTTTTCGATTTCGTTTGCAGAAATAAATTATCGATGATAATTCATTTATTTATTTATTATACTTCGTATTTTAGCATAAGCTGATTGACGGACGTGTGGACGCTCCATCTCTCCTTTCTCTAATTTATTTTTAAGTTCCCTCTCGCTTAATAAGGTCTAATTCTCCTTTTGTTGTTCCTTTCCACAGCACCAACTATGGTAGAAATAATCCCATTCATCGTATGATGCGCATTTGTAACGAGCACCTATGCTTCTCTTAGAAAGTTTTTTTTTCCCCCTTAATAGTACTTAATCTATTATTACTTACTACTGTTTTTACCTTGTTTACTTTTGCTTTTATTTTTATTTTTATATAATCGCCGTATTGTTTGGCGTTTATCTATTAATTTTTATAATATTCATTATCATTACTACAAATTGTGTTATACTATTGGGCTCCTAGCCCATTCATTCATATAAATAAATAATAAATAATAATTAGGCCGGTCGATGTCTATCGAAACTGAATTTATCAATTATTTATTTATTTTTATGACATCTACAGCTTATTCTACCCATCTACATTTAACTTTAATTATTATGCATACTAATATAGTATGTTCAGGGTCAATGATTCTTAAGTTGTTCGTGTAAAAATGCTTGTCAAATCAAAATACGTTAATGTTTTAAAAGTAACTAAAAATATAACAGTCGTTGTCCAATTAATTTTCCTGCTCTAATAAATAAAAAATAACTATAATATTGTTAATAAGTTAATATGATATAAATATACTATTTTACTATGCATAATAAACTAAGTTAAATGTAAATGGATAGAATAAGTTGTACAAGTCAAAAATAAGTATTAAATAAATACTAGAAATAACTAATGATGAACGAATCTAATGTGTCTAATCAAACTTGACGTGTGCGATAAATGTATTACAGTTCACAAACTGAATGGTCACATTGTGAAAAAAAATTACACAATGTTAAATTGGAGAGACCATTTCGTGGAATTTATTTGAATTTCACGAAGTGTAAAAAATCTGTTTCCATCTCTTGACATGGTCATTTTTTCATGAAAATATCGATTTCTCGAAGTGGCTACGTCGTATATATATATTTGGGTTTTTTCTTTTACATTTTTAATCAGAAATTGAAAAAACTCATTGTTTTATCTTATTTATAGTATTATTATTATTATTTTTATTTATTTTTAGTCAAATATTGAAACATTGTCTTAACTATAATACTTTTTTAGATTCCAAGACTAAATGGATAACGAAGAGAATACTATGGAAAGAATGAATCCAAGAAATGCTGAATGGTAAAAATAAAAATTTTAAATAGTAAAATTATATATCATTTTTAGTACTAGAACAAAATTTAATTTTACTGATACTTCCTAATAAGCCACACATTTGTGTAAACAGATTAGTATCTCTTTAAGTATTAATTTCTATTTTTGTATTGTTTGAAAACTTACCCACATAAATGTGTGGTTTGGTTATTAAAGTCGAAATTATTAAAACTAAATACTAATATTAATATTACTAATACTAATTAATAAAATAGAGATTACAGACCTACACAGTACGATTATATTGCAATATTTTGATAAACATGAGTTTTCTTATGCTATAATTTTTTCTGTTTTTTAGTTTATATGCAAATCATGTTCACTATGAATTGCGCACTTATGTTGATGATCTAAAATGTATTTTCAGTGTGTATATAAGGTTCTTTAAAGCTATTACTTTTGGGCCCAAATAAGGGAAATTATATTCAGTAAAATATATAGCGTGTTATTCAAAAACCTAGTTTTTTCAGAAATTTAATTACTAAAATTTATTAATGATTTTAGGTGTGGATTTAGAATAACAAGAGAATATTACGCTGGTTCAGATTATCGTGAATATACTGGTCCTCTAATTATAAACGACATGTTACCAGCTGAACCAATATTGAAGTCAACTACTGTTTCTGAAAATCATATAAGTTATTACGGTTTATATTTTACGTAGCAAAAAATATTTTTTTACTTTTCGTTAATAAAATCTGTAGTTATATAATGAACTTGGTTAAAAATATGTGATGTGCTTTAATTTTAGTAATTTTTTTTATTTTATAATTCATATCAGTGAATTATACTGAATATGGCTCCAACTCTAGATTGTATGATTTTCTTTTAATTTATAAAACTAAAAATAAGGATACCTATTTTTTTAAATTAATATCAAATTTACTGGGCCTCACTGAGAAAAACTCGTGTGGAGGCCAAATTAACCTATTAGTACATTAATTAAATTAATTTATAAAATTAAACCAATATAAAAATTAGTATTCAGTATCATGCCAATCCTCTGTTAGTAATCAATTTTAATTGATCTTGGCGAAAATATGCTTGCTATAAATTAAATTATAATCCAAATTAATGCTTTTTAATTATTATCATTTATATATATTAAATCATTTTTCCAATAGGTTTACTCATTTAAAATTTTTTTTGATCTTTATTTAGTTAGAGTTCTTAATTCCTTTATTTAACTATATAATTTCTAACGAAGATGTATTTTAGGTGATCGACGTCAATGCTCTGTGTGTTTGATTGATTTTACTATTGGTATTCATGTACAAGAGCTAACCTGTGGTCATATTTTTCATGAAAATTGTATCACTCCTTGGATTAAATTAGTAAGTAATAATTTTTTTTAAATTCTTTGCAATCTACTTATTTTTATTATTATTATTATTATTATTATTATTATTATTATTGTAACTAAGCATTTAGTTTCATTATGGACAAACTTATGAATAAAATCAATTTTAGAATTTGGATTTTTAGTATTAATTTTCTCTTTAATGAAAATTACAAGTAAGTTATAAGTTGTAATTTTCGACAAAGTAAATTAAATAAATTATTAGTCATACATTTTTCATAAACTTTATTTGAATTATATCGACTAAAACAAAAAAAAATCAAATTAATTTTAACACATCATATTTATGAAACAGATCACACTTAAAATATCAAACATCACTTAAGAGATAATGCAGAGAAGCGTTCATCACTCGTATATCACTGTTCAGCAATTACTTTTCCACCACTACTTTTACAAAACGAATGATAACACATTTATAATTAAATTCCTCTTTTATATTTTATTAATTATTTGCATATGACAAACAAAATTTTCCTATTATATATTTTTTTTAAACAAACAAGTAGTAACTGTTCTTGTCTTAATATTGATTAATTAAGAATTATTACAAACATCAAAATTTAAAAATAACTGAGTACATAAATATTTATTTAATACAGGATTCTTCATATTCTTCAGGTTTCTTCAAAATTAATTTTATATTTTTGATTATATTTCTTATAACGCTTGCACTATTATAATGAACAAATAACATTTCTTAATTAAATTTTATATTATTTTGTTGTTATAGCATAGTACATGCCCATTCTGTCGCAGCCAATTAAAGCAGGAGATGAATTATACTTATCAAAAGTATATTAAAAAAAGATCCCCTCTCTTCTTTTGGTAAATTATAAGGTTAATTTCAATTACTATGGAGCTTGGTTGCATATACATTTAATTTGTATTTTATATTAAAAACATGTTCTTAATTATATTTTATTTCAGATTTTCACATACCTAAAACCTAACACCTCTCCAACTTACAAGAATCAATTTAATATTCACCACAACTAAAAAAATATGAACTAGTATTTCTTATTATATATTTTTATTATTTCACTTTATTTTAATTATAATTTTGTTATTATTAATATTATTTTAATTGATAATAAGCATATTTTTTTTTTTTAAATAAAAATAAAATTGATTTCCGCCTAAAAATTGTAATTAAATATATATATATAATACTTACATTGTTCATTTTAATTTTTTTCTAAAATTATTTATTTTATATTCATAATAATTGCATATTACTTGCAACTCATTTAAACAATATAATTTATATTTATTGATTTTAAGTTTTATAAAACTGGAACTAAATTAAAAACTATTAGCTTATATTTAATTTTACCAAATCATAACAGAAATATTAATTCAAAATATATATTTAAAAGTTTGTTCTTTAGCTGTAGATCTCGATAAACTGAAAAAATTAAATTTACTTAATAAGTGTTTGATTGATTATAATCGAAAGAAAATTATTATGGTGTGTTATTAGTATTAAAGTTTAATGTTCTATTGATTTTTGTGTTATTTTGTTGTTTAACTTACTTATTCGTAAATTATTGTATTACACTAATATATCCAGTATCTAACAAAAATTAACATGTAATATAAGATGTCTTCAAAAAAATAATGTAAAAACTACCATTTTAACTTTTTTCAATCACAGAAAAACAAGAAGAAGCAAAAAATATTAAAAGTATTATATTATCAGTTAAAGTTTAAATTATGAGTAAAGGTATTTTTTAAATACGAATAAAGAGTATTAATAAATAACATAATAATAATAATATAAATTAATAAATATGTGAAGATCAAAGTATATTAAAATGTTATATTATTATTATTTTATTAGATAAACACTAGATAAATAGATTCAATTTTGTAAAATATCTTATTCTGATCTTGATGAAGATATTTTAGTGAAGAATAATTAAGCAAATTGTAGCATAAGTGACACAGATGATCTGATACCATAAAAAATATTGCAACTATTAATTATTAATTTAAACATTAAGCAATTACTGAGTAGGATTGAATGTAGTATTAAACTAGGCCAAATTATTTGTTTTCCCTGTCGGATGTTTATCAATTCTTCTGGAATTAATGTTGAATATTTATATCTATGGTTGGGATTTGTATATAAATACATATTTTTACTAAAACATGATAAATTAATTATTGAAAATTATAAATTCTTTTCACGTGATATGCAATAAAATAAGACATATTTTAAATATAGTATGTAAAACTGAAATTTTATAATTTGCCTTCCTAGGCATGAAGGTCTGGGATGAGGCCTGTTCTATGATATGAGTATTTAAAAAATAACTATATAAATTATATGATATTGGTTTATTCTTAATACATGTTACGTATGATAATTAAATTAAATGCTTAACTATTTAAAATCGGATTAAAATATAACAAAATGTATATGATTGTAAAAATCTTTGTAGGTACTTGTCACTTCTCTGAATACTTGAATCTAAGCTTCATCCATCAGAAGAAAAATGGATTCATCGTAACTGTAATATTTAAATACAGTATTAATGATCATTAAACCAATTACATTAAAACAATATGTTTTATTTTATTAACTGGAATGGAATACTGAAGTGAATATATACACCGGGGTATTGTTATTCAAGGTACATGAATTAGATATGTTTATTTTGTTATAGCAAAACAAAGGTAATCAAGTATTTACAAGAAACTGAAAATGCAACCATGGAAGACAATTTTAGAAAACATTTGAAAGTTAAATAAATGAGTTATTTTGTATTGCACAAGACATTTTAGATTGTAAAATATAAATTCACTCGATAAATGAGCCGTATGGCCAGAAAGTATTACAAAAAAAAAAAACATTATAAATACGATATATGAGAGTTATGGTAATGGGTATTATTTATATAGTAATGTTTGGGTTACTTACATCTGAATAAAAATGGTATAATCATACCTACTGGAGGAATATCATATTCTTCAGTGATTATTTCCTCCCGTTTTGTAGTATTAAATTTTACTTCTGCTAGTTCTGCTGTTATGTGTTCAACAAGGAAACTGTAAATTTTTATAGTATTTGTAATGGTTACATAGCTATCATAAACAATTATATGCTAAATAATGTTAAAAAATGTATACAGTGTATACTAAAAATAATACTCCTTAGTATAATATATTTACTATTGTGGAACAACTCTTTCTTTACAATTAGAAATAACAATTAAAAATATACATACCTATACAATGATTTGTAAATTATAAATTAATTAGAATCTGTATTGTCATATAATTCATAATTTATATTCCTTGTGCTCACTCGTGTGATAATAGGTACTCGTATATCACATGATTACACATGACACAGAGGCGGATCTTGAATATTTTGATAAGGGGGAGAGGGGGCATATAAATTATATAATGATCTTTGATTACAATTAATAGTATATACTCTTATTTTTAATCAAAATTCGTAATATATTTAATATAATGTGGATTACATAATATCACACATCAAGATAATAATTTATACTTATAGGCAAGTTATCCATGTATGTAGTCACTAATAAATAAAAATATCTTCATAGATTTTCATACTTTATAATTTTATAGGTCGAATTGAAGTCTTCATTTATGTTTTTTGACAAACATATCTATTCAGTTTAAATTTAAATAATCATTATACTAATAGGTAGTAGGTATCATTCTTATTTATTGTAGGTATTTTTCAATTAAACGATACTTGTAGTAACATAAAAATATTGTCGATAGAAAATTGACAGGGGAGGCATGTGCCCCTGTGCCCCTCCTCTGATTCCGCCACTGATTGGACACATGACATTATCATCATTATTTGGCCAAGCTATGTTATTATTATTTTATTTTCTAATCGTTGAGATAATGGTTATTTATATATGATACAATAAGCTTAAGAATACCTTTGAAAACCACAAAGCTGTTTCATGCTGTTAAGCTTACAAGAGTCAGAACAACATTGAGACGCTAATTGTAAGGAGTCATTTTGAGTTTTCATATTGCCTAAAACAAAAAAAAAATGTTTTATATTATCGCTTTGTTAAAATTATATTATGAATAATAATTTTGGAGCCCTGGTAAAAATTGGTTGTTTCTACATACTTTATACATTAGGTATTTTTCTTAATCACGGTCCTCCGTCACAGTTCATGATAATTTAGTACCTATATATCTGTACTTAGGTCCTCCCGAACACTTACTAACTATATGGTAAAATTATTCACTTACTTTCTTCAACGGCGCATTGTCCGTCAATGCACGCGGTGCACACAGTGGCCAACATATTGATGAAGTCTACTCCGCATACGATTATCTCTGATTCCCAGCCTAATAAATAATATAGGTATTCATTAATCAATAATGTTAAATTTCGCTATCCATAAACACCGATTAAATTGTAGTTTAAAACTATTTGGAAAAAATGAATTGGTTATTTTTTTTGTAAAATTAGTAGAGAAATTAAAAGACATATATATCTATTCAAATACCAAAAGGAAGATGTTTTTTTATAAAGATACAAACGATACAGGAGTTAATATTAAGATACTATAAAATTGTGTTTACGCTAATACATTTTTTCTTACCAATAAACTCCAAAGCCGATGGATCCGGAACAAATGGAGTTACCGGAGGGTTAGCAGTAGGCATGGCGTTGATATTAACAAACAACAGCGTAATATAAAATAACCTTAAATGCATAACAGTTATGAATAAATGAGATAAATATTATTTTATAATTAATAATAAATACGAACTGTACAACATTCCAAACTTATTAAACAACTTAAAATAAAAAAGAATCAGATTAAAATTGTTAAAAAAATAATAATAATGAATTATATTAGTGTGTTATTTTTACGTCTCACTAACATTTAAGTAAATATACACGAGATCTCTAATTAATATATTTTTAATGAGTAATGATTTAAACGTCCGTATAATGATGTATCTTCTACTATCCGACATCTTTACCTCGTAATTAAAAAAAAAATTAACATTATTTACTCAAAATGGTTAACCTCGAATATTCTGTACGTATGTATAAGATAATCCATATTAAATATGTAAAATATTAAATTAATTTAAAATGCAACAAAATTAATATTATTTGTATCAACTACTTACTTAATTGACAATGCCATTGTGGTATGTTGTGGAATAGTGCTAGAAATGGAAACAAAAAATAATTAGATACATTTAACAAAATTCATATAACTACCATTATTTAATTTCGTATTTAACATTTATATTTTTTATTACGACCGGTTTCGAATAAAAAATTCATCATCAGTTAAATACAAAGTCCAAGGGCGTGACCAAGGGGGGTTTCGTGTCCGGTCCCCTCCCATTGAAATTCCTATATACTCAACGGTTTAATAGTAAATAGTATAATAATAGTATATGGTGTATTTTAATTTCCCATTATCTTCAATACACAAAGTTTATAGATTATATAATATACCTATAATCAGTGTTGGGACTTATCTAGATAGATTTTTTGTCATCTTTAATCTTATCTAGATAAATAACGTTGATTTATCTAATTACTTATCTAAGATAACATTTTTACTTATCTAGATAATTATCTGTATTCTTGCCAAGATTTGAGTTATTTTTATTATTGTACGGAGACGAATCCAATAAATCAGAGATCATCAAAATTGGTCCAGCCGTTCTTGAATTATAAATTCTGTAAATAACCTGACTTTCTTTTATACATAAAGATTTTGTATTCATAATCATAATTCGTGTATTATTAATAAGTAATTATTATTTCTTGATATGACATTTTATTTGTATTTTCATGTCGGGAAAATATTTTTGATATTTTTAAACTTAATTTTTTATTTTTCCATGAAAGTTACAAATATCGTAGCTATTTGATTTTAGTATACACATGTAACTCATACTTTGAATAGACATTACTTCACTCTTGGAACCCGTTAAGTTGTCACTACTTATATAATAATAAAAAATCATCAAATTAATATTATATGGAAAGGAAACCA